CCATGTATCACACAGGAACAATGATTTTGTAAATTACTATCTAACTTGGAAGGGACTGGAGAGCATCATGCTGAGTGAACTAACTCAGTCCCACAAGGATAAATATTGTATCAAACCATTATTGTAGAATGAGTATAAGGATCCAAGAGGTATGAGAGGGTGGAAGCAGAGGGATGAGGAGGTGCAAGGGAGTGGGGGCATTAATCATGGGGTTGTACAATTTGATGGATAAGGGGATGAGGGAAAGTGAAAGAATTTGTTCTTGAAAACAATGTATTCTAATTTTGTAAATAAACTAGTAGAAAAAAATTTTTTAAAAAATCCTAGCCTCCAAGGAAAACTTGTTTTACCCTCTCCAAGACAGATCTATTTGTTTTCTTGGCAGTCCATGGTATGTTCAAGATTCTTTTCCAGCATCACAATGCAAAGGCATCAATTCTTCTTTTTGTCATCCTTAGTCATTGTCCAGCTTTTTGATGTAGAGAAACTAATTGTGAAGACCGTGGCCTGGATTAGGCACACCTTAGTTTCTAGACTGTCATCGTTGCTCTTCAGTACTCTGGAGATGTCCCTGACAGCAGATTTTCCTAATGCAATTCGCCTTTTGATTTCCTGTCTGCTGGTGCTGAGAGTGTTGATTGTGGAGCCGAGCAAGTTGCTAATTGTTAACATCAATCTCTTCTCTGTCTATCACGGTGCTGCCAATTGGCCCAGTGGTGAGAATCTTTTTCTTCTTGATGTTGGGCTTCAATCCTTATTGCAGACTACAGTCCTAGACCTTCTGCACCAAGTGCTTCAGGTCCTCTTCAGTTTCAGCAAGGAAGGTTGTGTCATCTGCATAAGGTAGGTTGTTGATGAGTCTTCCTCCAATCCTGATGCCACATTCCTCCTCATATAGCTCTGCTTCCAGAATGATCTGTTCTGCATATAGATTGAAAGGGTATGGAGAGAGGATGCATCCCTAACACACTCCTTTCCTGATTTTGAATCATGCAGTGTTTCCCTACTCTGTTCTGAGGACTGCTTCCTGGTCCAAGTATAGGTTTCACATAAGCACAATCAAGTGTTCTGGGATTCCCATTTTTCTCAAGGTTAGCTAGTTTGTTGTGATCCACACTGTCAAATTCCTTTGCATAGTCAATGAAACGCAGATAGAGATTTCTTTGGTGCTCTTTGCCTTCTGCCAAGGTCCATTTGACATTGGCAGTAATGTCCCTAATGCCACGACCTCTTCTAAACCCAGTTTGTATTTCTGGTAGTTCTCTGTCAATGTACTGATCCAGTCATTGCTGGCTATTCTTTATCAGGATTTTGCTAGTGTGTCATATTAGTGATATTCTTTGACAATTTCCACACTCTGTCAGGTCACCTTTTTTTTGGACTGGAAAAATAATATGGCTCTCTCCCAGTCAGTTGGCTAGGTAGTTGTTCTCCAGATTTCTTGGCACAACCTGGTGAACACATCCAGGGCAGCATCTGTTTGCTGAAATATGTCAATTGGTATTCCACCAATTCCTAGTGCTTTCTTTTTGCCAAGTCCTTCAGAGTAGCCTGCACTTCTTCCTTCATCACTATTGTCTCTTGATCATATGATGTTTCTTGAAATTCTTCTGTGTCAGCCCGTTCTTTTTGGTACAGTGACTCTTCCATCTTCTTACAGCCTTGGAAACCTAATGGACAGTTCTGCTCTAACTCATCAGGTCAATATGCCTTTAAATTCACTCCACTGTGATGAATTTGAGTGAGCTTAAGTGTGCCATCATATGTCTCTACTATAATTTATATCCACTCATCTGCTGATGGGCATTTGGGTTGTTTCCAGGGTTTGGGTTATTACAAATAATGCTATGACATGATTTTATTTCTCTGGGATAAATACTTAAGAGATGAATTGCTGAGTAATGTACCTTTTAAAACATTCATCAAGTGCTTTATAAAGTGATTGTACCAATTTAATGGCCATCAAAAAACAGCCAAGTAAGCCTTTTGGGCCATCCAAATCTCATATGAAGGCCTTTAATTAGTGGAACTGAATCCGCACAAGAACACCATGTCAAAAGGCACTGGGAAATGCAGGGTTAGGGTTTCATCTCTTTACCCTGAGGAAGGACCTGGATGAGGGGTATTGAGGACATTGAGTGCCAGCCCAGCAGTTGTCCACACAAAAGGTCAGCACTGCCCTTCTTCTGAGACATGTTCTGAGTCACCTAACCTCATTATTCCAAAGCTCAAGCAGTGGTGGAGCATCAGATGGTATGCTACCTTCTGAATAGCTCAAAAAGGTAAATTTTAAAATTCACTTCTAAAATTTCTCTTCCCAAATTCGTTTCTCAGCAATAATTTGCTGAGCAAATTAGTTGAGAAGTTGGACTCTATGAAGAGGAATGTGGCATCAGGATCGGAGGAAGATGCATCAATAATCTGTGTTATGTAGATTACACAACCTTGCAGAGGATCAAGGAATGTAGCCTTCAATATGGATTGCATCTAAATGCCAAGAAAACAAAGATTGTGACTAGTGGACCGAGAGGCAACCTCATGATGGATTGAGAAAAGATTGAAACTGTCAACAACATCATCTTACTTGAATCCACAATTATCACCCTTGGTACTAGCAGTCAGGAATTCAGGACACATATTGCATTGGGAAAGTCTGTAGTCAATGACATCTTCAAATTATTAAGGAGCTGTGATGCCAGTTTGAAGAGTAAGGTGCAGTTGATTCAGGCTATGGTCTTTTCAGTCACTTGCCATGCATCTGAAAGCTGGACAGAAGGGATGACAGAAGAATTATTGATGCCTTTGAGCTGTGGTGTTGGAGAAGAGCACTGAACATCCCATGGACAGCCAAAGGAACAAATAAATACATATTGAAGAGGGTGCAGCTGGAGTGTTCTTTGGAGGCAAGGATGATGAGGCTTCGCCTCACATACTTGGGCATGTTGCTAGGAGGGGCTACTCCTCGGAGAAGGACATGATGCTTGGAAGGGTGGAGGGTTGGAAGTAGAGGAAGACCCTCAACACAGTGAATACCTCCACGGGCTGTAGTGTGTCAGGAAATGTAAAGATGGCACAGGGTGGGATGGGGTTCAGATCTGCTGTGCCACTATGAGTCTTACTCAACTCAACAGCATCTAACAACATCGATATGCCCCTCCCTTCAGTGTTCTTCAATGTTTGTTCAAAGCAACACACAGTATGAAATAGGAAATAACCTCGTACAACCATTTTCCATTAACATGTCATTGGGTTGAGCCACGTGAGATCATAATTTTTATAAGTAAAAAAAATCATAATAATTTCATGGATATGTACTGGTGTTAAGGGCCACTGGGTTGATTCTGCCTCATAGCAACAGTAGATGAAAGCATTGCCCCGCCTTGTACAATCCTCATGATCACTGTCATGCAAACTAGAGCCCTCGGTGCCACCACCGTGTCAACTCATCACAGTCAGGGGCTTCCTTTGTTTCATGGATTCTCTACTTTAGAAGCATGGGGTGTGTGTGTGTGTGTGTGTGTGTGTGTGTATTTGTGAGTATTACTATATTTGTTCCCATTCTAAAGAAAGGTGATACGACAGTGTGGAAATTATCAAATAATATCATTAATATCACATGCAAGCAAGATTCTGCTGAAGATTATCCAAAAACAACTGGCGGAACTGCCGGAAGTGCAGGCTGGGTTTAGAAGGGGCCATGGTACCAGCAATATTGTAGTTAATGTTAGATGGGTCTTGGCTGAAAGCAAAGATTATCAGAGGAATGTCTATCTTTGTTTCATTGACTGTGCAAAGGCATTTGACTGTGTGGATCACAACAAACTATGGCTGACTCTGAGAAGAAAGGGTATTCCAGAACACTTGATCGTGCTAATGCGAAACCTATGCTTGGATCAGGAGACAGTCGTCAGAACAGAGCAAGGAAACACTGCATGGTTCAAAATTGGGAAGGGTGTGTGCCAGGGTTGTGTCCTATCTTCATACCTTTTCAATCTATGTTCAGAACAGATTATCAGGGAGGCTGAGCTCCATGAGGAGGAATGTGGCATCAGGTTTGAAGGAAGACTCATGAACAATCTGCATTATGCAGATGACACAACCCTGCTTGCTGAAACTGAGGAGGACCTGAAGCACTTGCTGCAGAAGGTCAAAGATTGTATCCTTCAATATGGATTGAGGCCCAATATTAAGAAAACAAAGATTGTCAGCCAACTGGCAGCATCATGATGGATGGTGAAGAGACTGAGATTGTTAACAGCTTCCATTTACTTGGCTCCACAATCAATACTCTTGGAACTAGCAGCCAGGAAATTAAAAGACGTATTGCAATGGGGAAGTCTGTGGTTAGAGACCTCTCTAAAGTACTGAAGAGCAATGATGTCACTCTGGAGACTAAGGTGCACCTGATACAGGACATGGTCTTTGCAATGCATCAGAGAGCTGGACAATGCCTAGGGATAACCATTAACATTTTAATTGGAAAATTGATGCCTTTGAACTGTGGTGTTTGAGAAGAGTATTGAATATACCATGAACTGCTAAGAGAACAAACAGGTTTGTCCTAGAGAGGGTGAAACCAGGCTGCTCCTTGGAGGCAAGGATTCTTTTTTTTTATGGTACCAACAATGGGGTTTATTAGGGAAGGAAGTTATAGAGTAGAGGAGACAAAGAATACCAATGGAAATCCAAGTTTTAGCTCAACACTCCAAAGGTACAATTTTTCAATTAGTCTAGGCTTCAGTTTCAGTTCAGTAGTCAAATCCAAATAATTCAACAAGATTTTCCTCAAAGCAGTTACAAGCCAGCTTCTCCTCAAGCATCCGACAAAAACAGTCACATCTTCAGCTGTTGAGAGACAAACGTAAGAAGTCTCAGGTCACTTTTTGCTACATCACTCCACAGCCATGCCACAGTCTCTCCACCATCAGGCATCAAACCTTGCTTGTCTCAAATCTTGCTACTCAGTGTCAGAAGCCCTCTTTTCCTTATCCTAGTCCTACAGCTGTTGATGATTTGCAAGACTATGTTGATTTGCAAAATCATGCGTCTGCAGTTAAAGAGAGCTGGAGATCCAAGAGGGTAACTGCAATGGAAAAAAAAAAGAGAGAGAGAGAGAGAAAGCCATATTTTAGGCTAACACCATAATAGTAAAAGGAGAATCAAATGTGTGTGGTGGCTTTTCAGTGTCACTACTGAGTACAGCAGTATAGCTCAAGCTACATGTATTTCTTATTTCACTAAATCAAGCCTCTCTAAGTACCAAATTAGGTACTTCTTTTTCACTTAACAATCAAGGTAAATATATTTTTAAGTATAGATTTAATTTAAATTTTGGCACTGTTAATGACCAAATATTTATTAATCATGTTGAGGCATCGTATCATATCATATTTTTTATTTATTATTAAATTTTATTAGTTTTAATGAACATTTACAGATATTTTGGGTTTTCATTCATTCATTTTGCACTGTTTTCTCTACCCTCCTCCCCAGTTCATTCTTCTTCCTCCCTCCCCGAATGTCTGTTTTAATTGTCCAATTGCCACAGTGCTTGTCAAAGCCAGTTCTGATTCATCTCCTTTGTCAGTGTGTCCTTTGCCATTCCCTATCACTCCTACCTGAGAGAGACTTCACCCTGAGTCATAAGGAAAAGGGGATGGCGTATTCTCTTAGCTACTTCCTGCTGAAAAGGTACGCTGTAAGTTTCAGGGTGAAGATCTTCTCTCACTACTCTAAAGGGCCCCTTTGGCAGTAAGAAACACATAGACTATTATGGAGATTGATTTGGCATTTAGATGCACTGTTATCAATTGTGCTTAGCCATACATGTTCATATCCTTGAAGATGTATCATGGAAGTGTTGCAGCCTAGAAGACACAAATTTAACTAACAAGTTAAAAGTACATGAGTCAAAAATTAAAAAGCAATAATATTTGGAGTAGAGGTTCTAATAGTGGCACAAATCAAGTTACAGAGGGAAGGTGGTTCTTACAATAAAAGGCCTATAAACTAGCACTTTGTCTATTATAGTGTAGAGGTTAGGAACCTCAAGATGTAGAGGCTCAGCTATGTCATTTATGGTTCTTAAGTCCTAGAGCAAATTCCATCTACCACTGGGTTGTGGAGGCAAGGATTCTGAAGCTTTGTCTGACATATTTTGGACATATTGCAAGGAGGGACCAGTCCTTGGAGAGGGACGTCATGCTTGGGAGTGTGAAGGGACAGCGCAGGAGAGGAAGACAATGAGATGGATTGATTCAGTGACTAGGGCAATGAGGGTAGGTGTGTTAGAGACAATAAGATTGGCACAGGACAGAGCAGGGTTTAGGGCTTGTTGTACATAGGGCCGCTATGAGTTGCAAGCGACTCAATGGCACATAATAACAACAATATTGGTTAGACATTAGTTCTGACTAACAGTTGGCAGGTGCCAATCACAAAATGCATTAGTAGTCTCCTGACATGTGTGTGTGTGTGTGTATATGTATGTGCGTATACACATACACATACATATATATACATACATACATATATATATGCATATATACACATATATGTCTATACATATATTGTTGTTGTGTGCCGTTGAGTCAGGACCGACCCATAGCTGATGCTCCAACAGGCTTTCAGAGGCAGTAAATTGCACAAGAGGAGACTGGCCATTTTTCTCTTGCAGAGTAGCTGGTGGATGTGAACCATGTACCTTAGTATTGGCAGCTCAATTCCTTACCAGAGCTCTCGTGCCCTAGTGATAAGAATCTGAGCTGCAGTCCTGAAGGCACCTGGTTCAGATCCATCAGTTGCTCCACAGGAGAAGGATGGGCTATCTCCTCCTGTGCAACTTACTGCCTCTGAAAACCTGCTCTCAGTTGTGGTGATGAGAAGAGAATTGAACATACCATGGACTGCCAAAAGAGCAAATGGTTTATCGTGGAGCGAGTGAAGCCAGGCTGCTCCTTGAAGGCAAGTTGCTCCATCTCACGTACTTTGGGCATGTATCCAGGAAGGACAAGTCCCTGGAGAAGAATATCATGCTTGGAAGCCTGGAGGGGCAGCACAGGAGAGGAAGACCCCAGATGAGATGGATTGACACAGTAACGAAGGTAATGAGGGTACGTGTGTCAGAGACAGTGAGACTAGGTCAGAATAGGGCAAGTTTCAGAGCTATTGTACATAGGGTTGCTGAGTCACAGTCATATAATAACACCACCAGCAATATAAACTCAGGGAGCTCTGGTGGTCTAGTGGTAAGAAACTGTGCTGCAATCCCAAAGGTATGTGGTTTGAATCCAGGAGCTGCTCTGGAGGAAAAGGATGGGCAATCTCCTCCAGTGTTATTAACTGCCTCTGAAAACGACTGAAGGGTCAGCTATGGGTTAGTCCAACTTCATGGCACACAACAACAATCTATATGTAATATGTGTATCCCTCTGTGTGTGTGTGTGTGTGTGTGTGTGTGTGTGTGTGGTAGTTTGCAGTGGAGTCAGAACCAACTCACAGCTGATCGTCCAGCAGGTTTCCAGAGGCTATAAATTGCTCAGGAGGAGACTGATCATCTTTGTCCCAAGGAGCTGCTTGTAGATTAGAACTGCCTGCCTTTGGGTTGGCAACGTTAACTCCTTATCCACTAGGCCACCAGAGCGACATATACATATTCCTCATCTTATTGTTGTAGAGTTAAGTTTTGACTCAAAGTGACCCTGTGTCAAGTTTTCGAGGCTGCAAATCACATGGGAGGAGACTACCCACCTTTCTCCCTCAGAGCTGCTGGTGCATTTAAACTGACCGAAAGGGTGCCCTTCGGGTTAGCAGTGCAACTCTCCATGGACTACACCACCACCAGAGACTGTATGTATGCATTTCTAGACTATCCTTACCTCCTCAGAGGAAAGCTGCTCCATCTCCTCTTGTGCCGTTTACAGCCTGTGAAAACTGACTAGAGGTCAGCTAGGAGTGTATGCTATACTTACTTGTGATATGCTCTGATATTCTCTATTTCATTATCTCTTTGTTTTTCTCTGCACTACTCACAACCATTAAAATGCTTTCATAACCCACCAACGAGCTATGACCTGAAGTTTGTGAAATCTTGTTATGCAACCACCTGTGACCAGGATCCTGTCTCTTTACCTTGGCAGGATACCTAAACCTGAGCAGAAGGCCTCACGCCCCAGCTTCGTTCTTCAGAGACTTTGCTCTGACTGTGCCCTTCCCGCAGGCTACGGGAGTCCAGAGACCTTTGGAAAGTGACCATCTGCCTGTTTGTGCCCTTCTTGACAATGGTCCAATCCTTGCAACCCCAGAATTCCCTACCTAACTGCTCTGAACCACCTTCAATTCCTGCGCCATAGACCTAAGGCAAGTACGTGATGATCCCAAAGGTAATCCTTTTGAGTTGGGGGTTTGAACATGCAGGCTGGGATGTTTCTATTTCTCTTGCAGCATAGGAGAGACCCAAAGTGGGGAGAGAAGAGGGTACGCCATGGACCTAACAAAATAAACCCCGTTGCTCTGAAGTCAGTTCCAATTCATAGCCTCCTTCTATCAAGTTTCTTAGGTTCTAAGTCTCTTCTGTCAGTATCCTGTACTGAGGTAACCTGAGGTTGCTGTGATGCTGAACCGTGTGCCACTAGGGTGTCAAATGGCGTAATGGTTACTCATGGTGGACAGTGGTTGGTGGAGCTCCTAGGCTAAGACAGATTGGGAAGCAGAAGAGGCATCCACTTCCTAAACAACATGCCTCTGGAAGCTCTGTGAGCTTTTAAAAACGACAATAGTTATAGAAAGGCTTCTGGTCTTTTGTTCATAGGGTCACTAAGTCATGCTCGACTTGATGGCAATCAACAACAACAACATGTCTTAATAGTAGGAAACAGACTCATTTTTGCCTTTCAGAACAAATGAACAACTGTGTTGTTGTTGCTGTGTGCCATTGAGTCAGAACTAACTCATTGCTGACTCACCAATGGGTTGGTTTGGGTGTTTTTTTTATTATTTTGTGTGTGTATACCGTCAAATCTGATCTGACTGATACAGGAGGAGATTGTCCCTCCTTCTCCAGCAGAGCACCTGGTGGATTCAAACTGCGTATCTCCGGGATTGCCGTGCAGCTTTTTGCCACTAGGCCACCAGAGCTCCCTCCAATGGGTTTTGAGGCAGTAAGCTGCACAGGAGGAGACGACCCGTCTTTCTCTACTGGCGCAGCTGGTGCATTTGAACCTTGTCCCTTTGGGTCTGCAGAACAGCTTCCTATTGCTGGGCTACCAGAGCTCCCTTTGGAGGAACCAGTAGATTTGAACTGCCAGTCTTTGAGTTAGTAGCCTACCACTTAGCCCATTATACCACCAAAGCTCCATTTATACCTGCCCAGGCCGCAGTAAGTGTACGGGTGAGCTAAGATTGGCTACTAGGCTCTGTGCATAGGGCAAGGCCAAGAATCTCAGACTATCCAAAGACAGAACTGAGTTTTGGCTCCCTCACTAGCTAGCATGACTTTGACCTTACCCTGACTCCTTCCTTTACACCAACTGGCTGCATTCACTGTTTCCTGCCATGATTTTTCAGTCCAAAATGTAGTGCTGGAAAAGAGTACTGGATATCCCATGAACTGACAAAAGAATAAACAACTATGTCTGAGGGAAGTGCTGCCAGGGCACTTCAAGAGGTGAGGCTGGTAAAGCTCTGTCTCGAATATTCTGGGTATGTTAGCCAGCCCTTGGGAAAGGACAGCATGCTTGAGAGAAAGACCTTCAAAAAATGTACTGACACAGGATTATAACGATGAGCTCAAGTAAGTCAAATCATGAGGATGGCACAGGATAGGGCAAGGTCCAGATCCGTTGTTCATAGAGTCGCTACTAGTTGTAGGCTTGACAGCATCTAACAGCAACAATCCCTCAGCATGCCTGCTCATGCTCTTGCCCCTCTTCCAGTCCCCTTTCACAAATGACCACAGACCACAAGGCAAGAACCACACTGGCTTTACTTTTGGTTTGAACAGAATGGATAACTTGGAGACAGTGCCTGAGACAGCAGGACTGGGTGATAGGGACTTGGGGACATTAGTCCCCACTCTGGCTCCATCTGTATCTTTCCTCTTAGGCCCAGCTTCATGAGTTGTCCACTCTGTAGGCTCCAGGAAGCGTGGAAGGAGGCTGGGCATGGTGAGTTGACGGGGGCGCGTTCAGTGTCCAGGTGCCCATCTACGCTCACGACAAACTCACCTGCAAGAATTCCGGCATAACTGGGGCAGCTGTCTACACTTGCCACCTGGGGGTGAAGGAAATGATTTGGTCATGAGTTTTAAAATATTGATTATGTGTATGATCTTGGTGCTGGGAAACAAGACTGATCAATCCCTGCCTCTTGGGTGCTCAGAGGCATCTCTGTAATAAAGTACAAGAGAATCAAACACTGAAACAACCAACACAGCGGCTCAGAGAGAGAAGTTCCCCAGAGTCACATAGATAAGATCTTTTCAAATTCATATTATTATTTCATTAAATATTTACGACTCAACAGCACATAACAACATTTACTATGCACCTGTGATGTGCCAAACACAGACTTAGGCACCAGAAACACAGGCAGGAACAAGAAAGAGAATATTCTCTTCCTCTACAGAGCTGATTCTCTAGTGGGGGAGACTGACAATGAGCATTTGTAGCATCGTATGTTATGAGTTGGGCTGCTAACAGAAAGGTTAGCAGTTCAAATCCACCAGCTGCTCCTTGGAAGAAAGATGAGGCAGCCTCTTCTTTTACTATAAAGACTTACAACCTCTGAAACCCAATGGAGGGTCATCATGAGTCAACTCAAGGGAAAGAGATTTGGGTTTTTGTTGTTGTTATGTACCCCTGAGTCGGAAGCAACTCATAGCTGACCCTCCAGTGTGTTTTCAGAGGCTGTAAATCTCACAACAGAAGACTGCCCATCTTTCTCCCAGGGAGCAGCTCATCAATTTGAACTGCATGTCTTTGGGTCAGCAGCACAACTGCTTAGTGGTAGTTTAATGTATATTGTTTTTGTTGTTATGACATGCTGTCAGGTTGACTAGGACTTATACCAACTCTATGAACAACAGATCTGCAACTTGCCCTACTCTGCACCATTTTCACAATCTCTGAGACACCTGAGCCCACTGTTACAATCACTGTGTCTACCCATCTTGTTGAGGGTCCTCCTCTCTTTCTCTGGCCCTTGACTTTCCCAGCATGCTGTATTTTCCCGAGGAATGACTCCTCCTGACATCATGCCCAAAGTATGCCAGATGAATGATTGATGAGCATAACGAAGTCAGGATCAGGGCAGGGAGTCCCAGGGACCAGAGTCATCCTCATGGCTCATCAAGGGAGTAACATATGAGCAAAGAATTGGAGGAAATGGTTGGTCATTTGGAGGAAGGGATTTCCAAGCAGAAGGAACAGCCAATGCAAAGTCCTTAAGGATACAAGAAGAGTCAGAGGACAGGAAGAAAACCAGAGGGACTACTGAGAGTAAAGGGATCTCAGAAGTTGAAGGGAACTTTAGAAGACAGTCACACCTGCCTGCCTCCTGGCTGCCACCTTTCCTTCCCCAATGTCCTTACCGCTCTGACCTCCTCCTTCTCCATTTCTCCCAGTTTCTCTTCCTTCTGACCTTTTCACTGTTACTGTAACGTGCTCAGATCATCCCTCCTCTAAAGCTTTGCATCTGCTGTTCCCTTCTCCCTCTTTCTTGTACTCTGATATCAATTCTGATTTTACCTCTTCAGATGTCATCCCTTTCTTTGCCCCCTAGGTCTTATCACTTGGCTTTATTTTCTCATAGCAAATATTTCTCTCTGAATCACCCTGTCAATTAGTATAATTAACTGTTATTCTCATCTCTCCCTTGGATGTGAGCTCCCAAATGGCAGAGACCAGTGTTACCTGGCATTGCTGTGCCCTCGCCAGGCCTCCCAACCCATATAACAGGAGTCAGGCCCAGAGAGGATGTTTGTTGTTTGACTACAGGCTTTCCTTCACACAGACCTGGGTTCAGTCCTTCCCTGGTTCTTACATGCTGTGTGTCCCAGGCAAACTCCTGAACTCTTTGAGCCTCAAATTCCCTCCAGGGGAGAAAACAGATCCTGGCACAAAGCAAGGCTAACAGCAGAGGCTACAGTGACTGACTCACAGACTCCCAACAAGGGTCAGGAGCAGGTCAACAGTATTGTCCCTGGTCATCTGTGTTCTGCTTAAACAGACCCTCGATCCTGCTTAAAGGCAAAACAGGTGCCGTGTTGTTTTGTTGTTATTGTTAAGTACAGTTGAGTCAACCCTGTGCACCACAGTACAAAACACTGCCTGATGCAGTTGTGCTCATTTAACCCTGTGCACCACAGTACAAAACACCATCTGATGCAGTTGTGCTCATTTTCCCAATGAGGAAATTTAAAAGAGAATTAGTGACACCTGGAATAAATTATATAGCTTAAAGTGATTGCAAATGGGTGATCCCTGTGTTTTATTTAAAGCCTATAAAAAGA